TGTCGCCAGGTCAGCGCAGGACAAACAGCAGCAGGGAGATCCCCATGTGGCTCCGCTGCTGCCGTGCCGTGCCTGCAGGACTGGGGAGGCCCCAGGGGAGAGAAGCAGGGATGAGTGGAGCCGTGTGGAGAAGCTGTTCGCCACTTTTCCCTGCCGTCCTACTTCTCTCCCCTGGGGCCTCCCCAGCCCCACAGGCGTGACCAGGTGCGGCAGGCAGCAGAGGAGCCACACAGGGCTTCCTCACTGCTGCTCGCCCTGTGCTGCCCTGGTGACACCTCTAGCACCTGCTGCTGCTTTGAGGGGCACATCCCCATGCCACTTCCCTCATTGCAGACCCATGCACAGGAGGCATGTTGTCAGGGAAGCGCAGGGCAATCAGTGGTGAAATCCCCGCGTAGGTCTTCTGTCCCCAGCCATGCCAGGTCAGGATTTCTTTGGTTTTTTTAGCAGAGAATCTGTCATTTTTTTTTATCATAGAAAACCAGGATCCCTGTTTATAACACTTGATTAGAATTTAATGTAAGCAAAATTGAGAGCTGTGGATCTAACTTGCATCTTGTGGCCATAACTGGTCAGTATAAAGTAAACAAGTTCATTATAAAATCATGCTCTCTTATTGTTAAAATACATTCTGACTCTCCAAAGCAACATTCCAGTTGGTTTATTTTTAATGACCGTTGTACCAACTCATGTCAATCTATGTTGGCATCTTTTTCTTTCTTTTTTTGAAAAACCAAATAAAACAGTCTATAGAATCATTATAAATTAAATGTATGCTATAGAGGGAAGGTATTAGAGCCTGCTGAATGGGTGCTGAGATGGAAGAGAGAATGAGGGGACCAGGAGAGAGGGAATAGTTTGAAGCCCTCACCCCTAAGCTGCCAGGCTGTTTCACTCGCTTTCAAAATATTCAGACAAGTAGGACATAAAATATTCTTTCTCTCTTTTTTGACTATCAGAAACTATTGTTCTTTTCAGCCTTCTACATCCCAGTAAAACTTTTAATGTTAAAATACGTTCAGTCAATGGTCAGAACACATGCTGGGGTGTTAGGTTTTTTATCCCCTTTTATCCCCACTGTTCATGAATACATTATTGTATGTCCTATTATGTTTTGTTGCTGTATATAAGTTTATATTATCATAGTTTGCCATAAGTATAAATAGGTATGTTCCGGAATACAGGAGGAAGGAATCTGATAATAACCTGATGAAGTCTTTTTGTAGTTGACATAGTCTGTGGTGTTTGCTTATAGTTTGTAGATCGACTGGCGTTCAAGGAAATTCCAGAGTAGTACAATTTATTAAGACACATAATAAGGCACAGAAACTAGTAACTGGAATTATAGTTTTGTTCCATATGTCACTTTCTCCTTTGAGCCCAGATCTGTGGCTGAATCACATATTTCATAAGATACTGCTGCCAAATGATCAATGTTGCACTGCTTCTCCTCACAAAAAAGGGAAACCATGATGCATTATGGAAAACATGCCATCCAACTAAGAATCACAGTCCTTCGAGAAGGAAGCAAGCAAGTTGTTTATTTAATGCAGTGCGTTAACCCTTATTGTCACCTGACACATTTCTAGATCACTTTTTTCGCTGAAAACTTGAATTTACCCATGGAATTTTCCTGTAGAAAAGTATGTTGCTTCTGTAGGCATCAATGGGAGACAAAAGCATTAGAACAGCTGTATAATTATTTTACATAGCTTTTTTAAATACTCCATTTTTTTCTACCAATTTTTAAAAATACTATCATTAATACTAATTTTTTTTTATTCCGTAGGATTCCCCAGAGTTTGATTTACTATTTGAAAATGCTTTTGACCAATGGGTAGCAAGCACAGCCTCTGAAAAGTGCACATTCTTTCAGATTCTTCATCACACTTGTCAGCGGTACCTTACAGACAAGAAACCAGAATTTATCAACTGCCAATCAAAAATACTGGGAGGTGCGTAGATCAAAATTGAAATGCTTAAAGTACAGTACAGCACTTTCTACATGAATCAGTTATCTGTCTATATTTTTTTTCTTATGCATTAGTAGAATCAAAAAAGCTCAAGCAGCCAGAGCATGTTAATTGGTGGATTCTGCAGCTAAAATCAGTTTTATGTGTTTGCACAAGGGAAGAATTTGTTTAGTTACCGTAGAATTCTTTCTGATGCAATTACTGATAATGCTTACCACTGAATTAAGAGCTGACATTGGTCATTTTAAATAGCTAGTTTACTCAGCAGAATAAGAAATCACTCAACTGAAGGATTTTGCAGAATTTTACCCTGTAAGGAAGTGGAATTACAACTTTCATAGTATAACTTTCCTGTCTCCACCTCCTACTTCCCCCAATTTTAATTTGTTTTTCTTGAAAGCAACAAGACAAATAAGTATTGTTCTTATTTTTTGTACTGCCTCCTTTTCTCTCAGTTCTTCAGAGCACTCATGTAGAAGCCTGTAAAAACGAATTCCTTTCTTCACTGATTTTGTTCTTTTCCATTTAGCAAACATTGATGTTTTTTTTCCTTGTGCTCCTGAAAGAGCTAAATTAAAATAACTGTTGTTAAACAATAACTTCTTTTGTTTGTTCAGAGCCAAAACATCTTTGTTCCTTGGCATTATTAAATTCAGCACAGTTGTATGGAGTGTCTGTCTGAATTAGCGAGTTGCTGCATATGAGAGAGCACTTTCTGAATAATTTGTGACTTTTTGTTAATACCGTGTTGCAGATACTTATGTAATGAGCCCTGGTGACATATATATCTGGCCCCTGGCACACCTTAATTTAATGACATGATGGCATCTATTCCCCAGTCCCAACAGTTGCACCTCTTGCCATGCCACACATGTATAGCAGGATGGATGATTTGGGGTTGGGGATCAGATCCCAATCATACCATTACTACTTGCCAGTGCAGGGGAAGCAGTCAGGATCATGAAGTCAGTCAAACTTGGTGTGGTATGGTCCTGGGGCTGGGACAGCCAATCAGCTGTTTAGCAGTTCCAGCCCAGGAATCGCACCAGAGCCAGTTCAAGATTCTGTTGGGATCTGCAGGCCTGAGACCGGCAATTAGCTGATTGTGGGGCCCAGCCTCAGGACCACATAGATGGTGGTTCCAGAGCCCCACCATGCAACCAGCATTAAGCTGCATGGCAGGAACTGTGCCATGTATCCCATTTAATGTGTGATGGAAACCAGCCACAAAAATATTATACATACTTTGTGAAATAATGTTGTGGCTTACTTCCCATTTGATTATACCATTAATGTTAGTATTTAAAATCGGGTTAACTGGTTAATCATATCTTAAGCATAATTTCTGCCAGAGAACAAAGGCAAAGTATAAGAGTCCCAGCCACCCAATCTGAATTAAACTGCTTTCAGTGCAGAGCACAATTTAAGAGGTGTGAGTTTATTCAACTTACGTGCTTCTCTCATTTATGAGGCAATTTGTGTTTGACCAGTGCATGAGCTTGAGCAACATCAGAGCTCTTCTGATTTACTGCAATCATCAATGGCTGAATATCACTAAAAAAAACAAGGTGCTTTGGCCTTTTCCCCTCCTGTGCTGGAGATTGGAGAAGTGGGTCATTGCCTGCTTCTGGCAAGAATTTTTGTAGGTGATCTCTTATTGAACCAACTGCATGGTTGGGATAGACATAAGCAAGCTTTTGGATATCACAGTACCCTTCCTCAGGCCTTTGGGTTAGAAGTAGGCATTTTTATCTAACCCAGGGATTTTTATACCTCAATATATTTTCAGCATTCAGTGATTTAATAGTGCCACTTTACTATATCAGTCTTTGTTCTTTTTTTAAAATAAGTTATGGAATTGCAAATGCTGATGAAGATCCATAATTGTTTTCCAAGTTGTGTGCTTTTTATAAGTCACTTCCATACTGCTTATTAACCCATGTGATTTTGATCTCCTCTGAATGGAGTTATATGAGGGTGTTACAGAAAGTATCATCAGTTTTGAAATAAAACCATTTGGTGTGCGTTGATCATTTACTGGACCATATCACTTCTCTACATAATTATAAACATTCAACAACGTCATCAGTGTTCACTGCTGCTGTGTAGATTTCCACTCAGTACACAAAGTGCCATTACTTTCTTACAAAATGGCATTTAAAAGTGGAGGTTCATAAAGATTTCAGTGTCCAAAACTTTAATAGCTCAGTAAAGAAAGTTGCATTTGGATGGGATGACCGTTGTCTTTCAACTTGCTAAATATCAAAGGTAGCTTGGGAAATTGTCATGTAAAGATACATGCCTTTTTATCATCTCTACTAGCCTGTAATCTATTGGACCAATGACATGTGCTAAGTGTGTTCTTTAATCCAAAAATAGAACTCATGAAGGCCTTCTTTATTACATTTTTTCCTATGGAAACCTTTTACATTGGATGAAGTTAAACTTCCATGGAAAAAAAAGTCTCTGTTTTGATAAAAACAGATCACTTGTTTCCAGCCAGCCTAACCAAAAGGCACTATTTAACCACGGTAAAAATATTCTCCTCTTTACTTTCTTGTTCTATTTTAATTTGCCAAATCCAGATGCAGAGTACTAAATATCCAGTTTCTTTTCAAGGATTCAAGAATCTGTTGCCTCATTTTAGCATATAATTACTAGCTTCTGATGATACAGAAATGTTCCTTTCTATTAAACTGGGCAGAACTTGTCCCTAATGTCAAAGCTTGTTTGTTTCTAATATTTCTGATGCTACAGTTTTAGCTATTCTTCCTCCCTCTTATTTCTCCCCACCACAAGAAATGAACACTGAAGCCTTACCAAGGTTTAATGTAATGAGGTTTCACTTCCATTTCCAATTTTGTACTCAAAGCATCCTACCTTTTGTTAGTGTTAATATTTTGGGATTCCTCTACAGCACTAATATTTTCTAGGTTTTTATTTACTCACCATGTTTGACATCTGTTATGCATTCCTGAAGAATAGTATGTAAACATCTTTCTTTTTGGCAATTGATAGAGAATATATAAATAGAGCTTTCTCTCAAGTGTGATGCCACGTAAGGATTCGAATCACACTGGCTATCATAAAACTTATTCAATAAAAAATCTGTATTAGGTCCTTTGCACATTGAGCTACATACTACTAACATAAAAAAAGTAGACCAAACTAGTAAAAATATGCTTTTTCAAAGCATATCCATAAAGCATTTCTTGAGTGACACATCAGTTGCTGAGTGATAGGTTCCATTTGCCAGGATCACGTTACCAATTGATCATTTATTAGTATCTTAGTGGTTCATGTATGCACAGTCCATGGGGCTTCTCTCCTGTGCTGCGCAGCCCCAGCAAGAAAGGCAATGGGCTCCAGCCTGCAGTGCTTCTCTCCTGTGCTGCACAGCCCCAGCTTCCCTTCTGTGCTGTGCTAGTACAGGGGCTGAACGTGAGTGGGAGGGAGCACCAGCAATACAGGCAGCCTGGGGGAGGCTGCACTCCTTATTTTGATGTGTAGCACTGGCCAGAACTGCGCCCCACCAGGTGCCTGTGCCCTGAGCACCCCACCTGCTGCTGCTGGCGCTGCCAGCGCCTGCCTGGACTGTACGCTGTGTAGGAGTGTGGGGTGTCCTACCGCCCCCCTCACCCTCCTTCATACCCACACACTGCCCACCCCAGCTCCCCTGATCCCATGCTCCATGCTGCTGCCAGCCCCATGCTCTGTGCTCCTTCCCAGCTGCAGCCCTGCCCCTGGTGCTTCTCTGCCTGCTGCCCTGAGCCAGCAGCAGCAGGTCACTGAGGGCTGCAACAGCGGTAAGTGCAGCCCTGCCTGGAAACTACACACTGGCTGGGCAGGGCCCTTCCACCCACGAGGGTTGGAGCCAGGCAATAGGATAAGTTTGGGGGGGC